GGAGATCCAGCCTCACGTGCCATTTCTACCCGCTCGTTGCTCGCGTGTTACTCCTCTCGCCACGCATTGTTGTTTTTTCGTTGCCGTGTGATACGCCGATATCTATTCAGATTGTACAGCCCACGGTCTAGCCACGCGAAACGCGCTATCATTCGTCAATCCTTTTTAACACGTTCCGTGCCTTGTGTACCACCGACGGCCCACGCTGAACTTTCCATTCAGGCCGTTTATTAGTTTATATAAACAAATACATTAATATAAAGTATTTCACAACTTATTTATTTTGTTCTACACTATTTTAATAATACATCAATCTTAAATTATAATCATACATACATACATTAATCTTTATTATAATATAGAATAACCTGCACAAGGTGAATCACCTCTCGGGTGCAGGTAGAGCGGGTTAAACCGAGTAGAAAAGTCCTCTATCGTTTTGCGATTTTTGCAATAATTAATGAAAAATTAATTTTAAAATATCGGCCAATTTTACTCACATTTGTCAGTTTAGTTCGTTCTACCTGCATAAAAGCTTTGTCAAAATTTTTAGGACACCTTGTATACAGGATGTAATTCACGGACCAACGCTCGTGAGCGGATAGAGTACATTAAACAAAACAGAAAAGTTCTTTACCATTTTGCAATTATCGCAATAATTATTTAAGTATTAATTAAAAAAGATTGTCGAATAAGCGCGCGACTAGACAGTAAGATATAACTGTAAAGAAACATTCAGAATATTTTGAGCTCAAGTAGTAAATGCGCCATCGGTCACGCAAAAGCGGCTGGGAGATATTATACGGAATGCTAAAAGACTTTTCTGTTTTGTTTACCGCGCTTTACACGATCGTTTGGACGAACAATATAAAACAGCCTGTACGAATCTAAACTGTAATTTAAACTAAATTGTTGATAAAAAATATGCAGAAAAACACTTTTTGTAGTTTCTTTTACTAATAACAGTTCAATGCTTATTTTTACAGATATTGGCCTATAATAGACAATGCTCTGAGAGCGGCAGCGATCGAGCGTAAAATAGATGTGCGTCTCCTAATCTCCAAGTGGAAACATTCGAGACCGTCCGAATCATATTTTCTCAAATCGTTGCAAGATTTGACGAGGAGCTATCAAAATGTGAAAATTGAAGTGGTACGCATCTTCTTTGAATACACAAAACAAATAGGCACAAGTACATATATTTTGCTAATTAGGCCATTTGTGGAATTTTTATAGAGAAGATTTGTTGTACCCACTGACTCGCAGTTAGACAAAATACCATTCGCAAGAGTGAATCACAATAAATATATGGTCACCGACATAGCAGCATATATTGGAACGAGCAATTGGTCAGGAGATTATTTTATTGACACAGCCGGTAAGTCGTTCTAATATTATTCCTTTGCTAAAATAATGTAAACTTAGAAGTGATTACAATATTATAAAATGAACTTAAGAGTAGTTACAATATTTCACGTGTTATTTTTGTGATTAATTTTATAAATATTAGATAAAGGAGTATTTATTGCATTTATATAATGCAAATGGGGTTTCAGGTATTGGCACCGTATTCGAAAATGTTGGACAGCAGAATAAAGACAATATAAGGCAACAGTTAGAAAATATCTTTTATCGTGATTGGAATTCTAATTATTCTTTCCCGTTAAATATAAGCGAGGAGCGCCTCGAAAATGTAATTAATAGCAGATCATGGGGTTTATCGCGAAATTCATATCAGTAATTATTGTATGAATCTTATATTCATACACAATTATAGTAATGGCACTAATCATTTTTAATCGCGAAAAGTTTTACTGCATCGATTTAATCGAAAGAAGTTTATCTCGATTTTCAGTAGGACAAAATTCTTTTATGTGTTTCTTTATCTGCATCTACAATATATGTTCTCTCTTTTTTTTTAAATAATTTTTATAAAATTTTCTAAAATTTTTCTGGAGTTTAAGATTGTGCGCAAGCAATGGATCATTGTAACAACTAGATTTATCATTATATATGTTGCTTGTCAATTGACAAGAGAGTTCAAATATTATATACATACATGACGTGATGCGTCAAGCGTTTTTTAGCGATTTTAAGAAACTGGAATATGAATTGCAGCGCTAAATTGGCCGGGGTATGTATTAACAGGTAAATTAATATTACTTTTTTTATATAAATATATTTTTAAGAGCTATTACATTATTGATCGTGAATTAATTTAGAAGTAATAAAATCAATCACAAGCAATATTAAATGAATGATTCAGATTATATACGTTACATTTAATACGTAAATATGTTTTACACTTGTTAATAATTAAGTATTTCTCTCAAATTTTATCTTTACAATTCGCTTTTTGAGAGAAAAATCTTTGTTTCTTTTTTTGAAATCTCTTGAGTAATCGTGCCGATTGAAACAATAGACTATCGTTCTTCCTTATTGATCTCTGTTGCTGATCTCTCTTACTGATCTCACTTTATCTCACGGCCATCATATCACGCTGCATTCCAAAACAGGTACATTTGCGTGCCTAACAGACATATCGTTTAACGAAAAGGGTAAAACGTGCCTTATAAACTTTGTTTTGGCGATAGGCACGGCAATATTAATATCTACTCGAGAAATGCATCGATTCTACGTTCTTCCATGTAATTCATGACTTTTTTGAGACCTCTTGTCCGATTGTTATGTTGTGCCTATTCTAGCATATGTAAAAATGGGACCTGATTATTAACGATGTTTTAATAATGTAAAAACACAAAACAATTACGGGAACGATCTGTATCTCGGCTGTTACAACATAGTGAGAAGGCTATTACAATATATTTTGTGCAACACATTAATAATATTAAGTGTTTATCTTTGTGCACATTTGTACACAGTTATACAAAAGTCTTATATGTGCATGGACTGACCAAAATTTTTATAAAAAAATACAATTTAAAAAAAAATTAGAAATGCAGAAAAACGCGCAGTTAGTAAATTATCGTAACCGAGTTAACAGAAATGTTGATTGTAAAATCTACACTTTTGGATGTAGTTTGGTACTTTTCACAAATCTGTGCATTACGGGGGCTATTTAATTTAGAATAATTTATTATTAAGGAGAGCAATATCCAATGTTTATATTATGTTGCATTAAATCGTAATTTTATTACATTAAAAGAAGTATTAAATAGAAGTATTGCACTAAAGGTAAAAAAATAATATTATTTAATGACGATAATATTGATGAAAAAGATTAGTTTTATCAATCGGAATCAGTGATAATTATTTAAAAAGTCCATGCACATTATTGATATAATAATTTGAAATACATCTCAAGTTTTGGAATAAAATTTTTATTATCGTCATATTCATTTCTTTTGCTATAAAAAAGTAAATTAAACAAAAAAAGGCTGTCACAGTTCTAATAAACTTTCACTATACATTAAGTATTTAATAATACTCATAAAATAATGTAAAAATAATATTGACGTATTTAATATTCATAAAATAATGTTAAAATAATATTGAAGTATTTAGAATATATGCTTAAAAATGAAATGTACGAAAAACAACAACGCGATACTGAAAAAGACTCTATTTAAAAATTATTAGTAAAAGTATTAGTGTGTCAATCTCCTTTCCTTTATGCTCGGCAGAGTTGACTTGAAATGGAAAAAATGTAAATTTAAAAAAAATTAGGATATTAGACGGTTAATATTATTTGTTTCAAATAAAACATTTATGTTGCATTAAATTACGATAATTGATTTAATTTTTAAATGAAAGGTTTAATATTATATATTAAAATTATAGCAGAATATGTACTGTTTGTGATTGTCTCTAAGTGCGCTATATTGCATGTTATCAATTGAAGGCGCGGATCAAAGAACTCGCCTAGCGCTCGAAATCCTGTAAAAGTATTGGCCAAACGTCTCAGAGCATGAAAATTTTGAAAGTTAATTTAAAATTTTTTTAAATATAGGCTTATAGAGAATGACGAGACGGAATTTTTTTCTATTTGCAGTTTTTTGTTCGATGCTTATTTTTAATAATAAAAATACAAAACTGAAAAATTTTTATCCTCCAATTCAATAAGATTTTAAGATATAAATCGTCGTAATTTGGCCAAATTTTGTTGAAATTGTTTGAAATTTGGTATACGCATGCAGTATAGTCTAACGATGCCTACAAAACAATAAAGAAGCTGAAAATCGCCTATTTAATAATAATTGATTACAAATTGAGGCCAGTCGGTAACCACGTTTTTTTAGTTTCGCCGACAAAAAGTATCGAGGGAACTTGAAATTTGAAACAATCTCCAATGAGACATTTGTTCCTCACTACTGAAGGAAGGTTTCTGGAAATTTTCAGATCGGTTTATTGAAAATTTGCGGAAATATGCATTTTATAAGAAAACATGCAACGATGCCAATGATAGCTCTGTGAGCGCTGAGCACCATCAGGCAGCGTACTCGCCGTTCGACTTTCCAGGACTCGATTTTATAATGATTTTTTAATGGTTATACATTTGAACAATCGCCCACTCCCCACGAAATATCGAAATGATGAATTCGATGTGACAGTTATTTTGGCAATTTGATGGTTATCTTGATTTTATAATTACCAAAGTGACATAATAAATGCGCGCGCCTGTATTATTCCAGTCGTATAAAATTATATATATTATTAGATCTTTTCATAACTGATTATATATATTTACATCTGATCAATTATACCATTTTTTCTCGGGCGCTCAGCCTATCGCCGAATGCAAGCGCGCGGCGAGATACAACCGCGCAGCGATCATGGTCGTTAGCAGGGTCGGATTTTTGCATAAGCAATGTAAGCAATTGCTTAGGGCCCCGCGCCAGCAGGGTCTCAAAGATTCCATACAACTAATTTCATACGAGTATTAAGTTGACGGAAAAAATTAAAAAGGCCCTCTTTAAAGCCAGTGCTTAGGAGCCCTCTACGATTTAAATCTGGCTCTGGTCGTTAGGCGCGCGGGAAGTTGTTTACTACAAGCGGCAAACCCCGCTCTGATATATGATGATCTGCCGTTTTTTTTATTATATCTCGCCGCGCTTGCATTCGGCGGTAGGCTATTTATATTCAATTTATATTTATGTTATAAATAGCCGGCATTAAGGTTCATGTTGCATAGCTTATTTTATGACGTTTAAATTTTAATTTTTAATTTTGTGACATTTTAATTTTTAATTCTTTTTATATTCCATAAGGCTTACCATAAAGTAACATTTGTAAATAACTGGTTCAGGACGGGCGTACTATACAGGGTGTCCGGTAATTGCTGAATCATTTCTCAGGTAGATGCAGGTAAAGCGGATTAAACCGAGTAGAAAGGTTCTCTACTGTTTTGCGATTTTTGCAATAATTATTGAGGAATTAATTTAAAAATATCGGCCAATTTGTGCGAGTTTAAGAGCGCGGCGAGAAGAGACCCGTGGCGGTATAAACCATTGTTATTTGATTACTTGGCGCGCGACGAAGCGTTGGGAGGAGCGCTCTACAAAGAACAACGACAACATACGAGCGGTGCGTAACGCTAGATCCTTGCGTCCTAGCGACCACATAACAGTGGGTTGTTTCTTCTCGTTGCGCGCTTAGACTCATGCAAATTGGCCGATCTTCTTTAATTAATTTCGCATTAATTATTGCGAAAATCGCAAAACAGTAGAGGACCTTTCTACTCGGTTTAATCCTCTCTACCTGCATCCGAGAAATGATTCAGCAATTACCGGACACCCTGTATAGTACGCCCGTTACCTTACAGTAACATTTGTAAACCTTGTAGAATATAAAAAGAATTAAAAATTAAAATGTCACAAAATTCAAAATTAAAATTTAAACGTCATAGAATAAGCTATGCAACATGAATCTTAATGCCGGCTATTTATAACATAAATATAAATTTATAATAAATAAGAATGCATATACTCTCCCGGTTCATTCTGCGTAAATTCAATCAAACAACTCTTCTTCCTCTAATCCTTGTTTGTTACTATAAATACTTCTACCACTTTCACTCGTCAGAGTGCATATATACAGGGTGATTCAAAATAACCTGATGTCTTTGCAATGCCATATTCTTGAGCGAATTCTGAGACAATTTTTCCTTTTACAAAATTTTGTCCGAAGCTTAGTTTTCGAGTTATAATTGAAAATAGTTTGCTACTTACGAGTCCGATACAACGGACAGGCAGGGGCGTGCAATGCGTCATGAGACGATAGTAAACACTTGACGGTCTCATTATACGTTGCGCGTCTCTGCCTGCCCGTTGTACCGAACTCGTAAGTTGCTAAAACATAATAAACTAGATTTTAATTTTATGTTTTAGGCTGTCCTGCAAAATCAATGCTTCGAGAAAAGTTTACTTTATAAAATTTTTAAACCAGCATTGAAAACAGAACTTGTCACATCTTCTGGTAAGTTATTTCAATAAGAACAAAGCTTAATTAATTGTTATTACTTACTCTAAATAATATTTAATTTAGTTCAAATAATAAAGTGGATATCCGCCCAGCCTACCGCCGAATGCAAGCGCGCGGCGAGATATAATAAAAAAAACGGCAGATCATCATATATCAGTTTTGCCGCTTGTAGTAAACAACTTCCCGCGCGCCTAACGACCAGAGCCAGATTTAAATCGTAGAGGGCTCCTAAGCACTGGCTTTAAAGAGGGCCTTTTTAATTTTTTCCGTCAACTTAATACTCGTATGAAATTAGTTGTATGGAACCTTTGAGACCCTGCTGGCGCGGGGCCCTAAGCAATTGCTTACATTGCTTATGCAAAAATCCGACCCTGCTAACGACCATGATCGCTGCGCGGTTGTATCTCGCCGCGCGCTTGCATTCGGCGATAGGCTGGGCGCCCGAGAAAAAATGGTATAATTGATCAGATGTAAATATATATAATCAGTTATGAAAAGATCTAATAATATATATAATTTTATATGACTGGAATAATACAGGCGCGCGCATTTATTATGTCACTTTGATAATTATAAAATCAAGATAACCATCAAATTATCAAAATAACTGTCACATCGAACTCATCATTTCGATATTTCGTGGGGAGTGGGCAATTGTTCAAATGTATAACCATTAAAAAATCATTATAAAATCGAGTCCTGGAAAGCCGAACGGCGAGTACGCTGCCTGATGATGCTCAGCGCTCACAGAGCTATCATTGGCGTCGTTGCATGTTCTTATAAAATGCATATTTCCGCAAATTTTCAATGAACCGATCTAAAAATTTCCAAAAACCTTCCTTCAATAGTGAGGGACAAATATCTCACTGGAGGTTGTTTCAAATTTCAAGTTCCCTCGATACTTTTTGTCGGCGAAACTAAAAAACGTGGTTACCGACTGGCCTCAATTTGTAATTAATTATTATGAAACAATAGGCGATTTTCAGTTTCTTTATTGTTTTGTAGGCATCGCTAGACTATACTGCATGCGTATACCAAATTTCAAACAATATCAACAAAATTTGGCCAAATTACGACGATTTATATCTTAAAATCTTATTGAATTGGGGGATAAAAATTTTTCAGTTTTTTATTTTTATTATTAACAATAAGCATCGAACAAAAAAACTGCAAATAGAAAAAAGTTTCGTCTCGTCATTCTCTATAAGCCTATATTTAAAAAAAAATTAATTTTGCGACTTTCAAAATTTTTTATGCTCAGACGTATGGCCAATACTTTTACAGGATTTCGAGCGCTGGGCGAGTTCTTTGATCCGGGCTCTCAATTGTGAACAGCGATAATTAAAAAATTATCTTTTGAAATCTGATCATCATTAAGAACATGAAAAATATATAAGAATTATACAAAGATTTCTCCGCCATATTTGCCTTGATAAGTGCTCTTGTAAACACAAAAAACGCAGTGTTTTAATAATTTTGTCTCAACTTCCAATGTGTATTGGAATTTTCTTTTAACTGAACTGTTTACGCAAAGTTACACATACAAGTTTTACAAGAATTTATGTCACGAACATATATAAAAATCACAATGTTTATTTGCATGCGATTATGAATGCATATACGCGTACGTTACGTGCTCAGGAAAATGGCGATAGTGTCATTTCTGACATAATTAAAACGTATCCAAGGAAAATCTAACGCAAGAATACGTAGGCATACATGATTTCTTAGCTATACACGATGACTTTATTCTAGATTATCTTCAAGAATAAAATAACCCGTTTGAGCAAGAAATCCGATCATTAATTACTATCTTTAATAGTATTCGAAAGAAAAAACCGTCAGTATGCAACTCTCATGTAAGACAAATTTCAAGGATAAATCTTGTTGAAAGTACATGGTGCACTTTATAACGTTAGATAAAAAGAAAATCATTCTTGTATATGCACACAAGCAATCTCTTTATAAACGCAGATTAAATAATTGTAAGCTATATGTGTGTATATCTATGAAATTTATGAAAATACTTCTTTGTGAGTAGCAGCTTTGTTTATTACTTTTAAAATATTATAATTAGCTTTAGTTAGTCTTGATTTGTAATATACAAAATTAAAGAATTTTATATAACATGAGAATTTTGCAAAATCTTTGCACTAAGGAGCAACATAATTTTTTCCGTGAAAATCGAAAAATGTATTAATATATTATTTATATTATTTTTCTTGTTTCAGCACAGGTTTTTTTTATTTGATCGTAAAAAAATTTATTTCATCATACCTACAATAAGAGCTATTATCTTAGAAAGACTCATCCGCTAACTCAAGGATGAGTTTACAACCGAAAAAGACTCATAAATTATTAACCATTTAAACTTACAAAGTAAGTATTTGATATTTAACTTAGGAATATTGATTTAAAAATTTCCAGAATTTCTTCAGAATAACGCGATGCAAAATAACATAAAACAGTTACTAAAAATTAAGATATCAAAGCACGGACACGTGTAAGATGTACATAAAATATTGAGTATTAAATAATACTAAATGTTGAATCATATTTTTATTTTTATTTTACTGTATTTTGTTAAAATACACTTTCTCAAAATCTTTTAAAATAAATAGCACCAAGCATAGCTAATTTGGAACCATTTAGTTGTGATTAATAGTTCTTAATTATTCTCTGATGATTCTCAGCAAAAACAATTAATTAACAGATTAATAGTTCTTAATTATTCTCTGATAATTTTCAGCAAAAACAGTTAATTAACAGATTAATAGTTCTTAATTATTCTCTGATGATTCTCAGTAAAAACAGTTAATTAACAGATTAATAGTTCTTAATTATTCTCTGATGATTCTCAGTAAAAACAGTTAATTAACAGATTAATAGTTCTTAATTATTCTCTGATAATTCTCAGCAAAAACAGTTTAAAAAAACAAAAACAAAAACTGTTTTATGTATTCTTGAGATTTCTGCTTCTACGTCTAATAATAAATATTATAACCATAATAACCATTTTTTTTAAAGGTTACAACGTTTATCAAAACAGTATTGCGAGATACTTATTTTTTGTCTGTGCAAAAATTATTTATTTTTTGTCTGTGAATTTTTGTATTTGATCTATGTTTTTAATTATCCTGACAAACTAAGTAAATATTTCAAAATATCGAGATCCGGCTCTTTGTAAAAAATCACTGTGCTATTTTGATTAGTAATTCATCTCTGTAATAATAGCATTCGTCATAAACAGAATTGTAAAGTAAAGTGCAATCTTTTTTGCTGCACTTTCTGTAAAATTCAATGCATTCCAACGGAGGTATTTTATTTTTATGTCTAAAATTTGGATGTAAATAATTTTATAGATTATTCTTTGATATATGAGAAAATTTTAAATAATACGTATGAGTCTCACATCTGGATGTATCTTTTACAGAAAAATAATGTAAAATTATATTGTATTAAAAAGTTAATAGAAGCATTTAATCTATAATAAATAATAAGCTGTTTTTTGTAGAACTTAAGAACAAGGCCGTAAATTATTATTTAACACTAAAAAGACGGACAAATCATTTGTTACTTTTTTTTTATTTTAATATAAATTAATGCCATTGGATCTCATTTTTACTATAAGCGCAATAACCATAATTCCGATTAATATTAGAATAGAAAATAGAAAAGTAAAACATAAAAGAATCATAAATAATTCTTTAATGATTTTTTTATTCTTTAAAAAAATACATAAAGCTCCGTTTTTTTTTTCATATTAAACATTATTTATTTTTTGGAAAATTTATCTTATATGGAAAGTTGTTTCTATCAAAGTGGATTGAACTCCACTTAACTATTCTATTGCATCTATCATACTTTTTGTTTCACTATTATAGAAATTTAGAAAAATATGAAAAGAAAATGACATTATTTATGATATTGTTTAAATGTTCTGTGACATCTTAAAATAATTATCTCGCGCCACTTATTATTCCAATACTTATAATTGATCAAAGTAATCGTTCACTTCCGGTATTTCACGCACTTCCGTTTCGTCGTTACGTTTTTCAGAACACACTGTTTCGCTGTATAACAAACGGAACAATGAACAGAAAACAAGTGGTAAAGGTACAAGAGAAGGATAAGCAGAAGGAGAGGGGTACTACCATAGGAAGGGATACGAAGAAGTAGGTGGGAAAAATAAAACCAGCGGCTCTATGGGGCTGTCAAAAGACGGACTGTTTTACTCGCGGAAAGTCGACGGAGCAGAAAAGAGGATCGATAGATCTGCGCGCGCGAGGAGAAAGTTATTACATATATACCAATTGGTATTTCACGTCCGCCTGATTGCCTGCTTATTTACCTCAGCACTTGCCAGTGTACCGACTTGGCTGCCTGCCCGTCTGCCTACCTGCCTGCCCGCCCGCCGAGCTGAGCTTCGGATTTCTTTTGTCGATCATTTCTCGACAGCGAATAAGGTCAGTGGAAGATTAACGTCACCAATTAATATACGAAACACGTCTGCATGAGCATCTGTCACGATGAATCCGCGCCGACATGCGTTTTTTCTCATTGTAGTTTCGCTCTGATCATTCTCTCGTATCGCCACGGTCGAATCGACGCACTTGATCTTTATTACTTTCGCGAAGGGCGCGAGTGGTTAGAACGATTCTTTCGAAAGCAGCGCGAATCTCGTTAAAACAAGCGAGTCACATCAATCAACATCCCTTATTTTCTTGCATAAATTAATAGATTCTAAAATATGATAATTAAATTATACGGAAATAAAAGCATGGGTATTGTGCATCAAGCTGTAGACGCTTGTTAAATCTTACTTTTTACTGAAATCCGACATATTTCGATATTTAAATATTAAATCTTTGTTTAAAAAAACGTCTGCATATGTAGATATAATATTTTACAAATTTTTTAGTCTTTTTTTTACTTAAATATTGCTACAATTTACAATTTTATGATTTAATCTTATTTTATTATTTATATTTTATTAAATCTTAGTATATTTTAGTTGAAAAAAGAACAATGTAATTTTAAATGGAAATTTTTATTTTAAAAACTAGATGGTTGTGATAACTCAATGAAAACCGAAGCAAATTTTTTCAATCAAAAATTGCAACTCAAAAAAGAGCTTCGAATGCAGATTGACGCAATTGCGACATATTTTCTTGTGCCAATTACGAAATATACTATTTCTCTTGTTCGAACTGATAAGCATTAAATCATATACCATTAAATTGCACATTCCATTTGTTCGTCATAGTTTTATTTGATTTCTATTTATTGCGCGCACATTCATATCCACTTAATTTAATTCGATTAAATAACCAATATTTATTTCTTAATTTTCTTTTCAAGATAAATCTTGTTATAATTTTTATTTTCTTCTTTGTATATTATTTTACTTTCTACATTTTTCCTTTTTTATTATATTAAAAATCTTAGATGAAATCGATTTATGTAAGAATAAGTAAATAGATAAATTCGATCTAACAGTATATAATCTAATGAGTTAACTATTTGGTTTTTTCTTTTTTTTTCTTGAGGACTGATATTTCGAATGATAAATTTTAATTTTACAAAAGTTACACACATATACTTATATAAAAATTAAGAAAACAGTAAGACGAATTTGCATCCATTAGCATTGAGAAAAAGGTATGCATAATCGATATTTACATTGCAATATTTTTGTTTACGTAAATAACTATTATAAATTGGTAAATAATTGTTAATAATTGTAAATTAATAAATATAAAAATATAAAAATTAAAATATTAATTCAAAGGAATAAATAAGAAGTTAAACAGTCGTTGCTAGATGGTCGTGCTAGTTTATTCAAAGACAAATAGTAAAAACAACGTTTAGACCTATTATCAGGTCTTCTTCAAGTTTATAATAAATGAAATATTACAATACAAATTAAAAAGTTTTTACGGAGGAATTAAAATATTAATATAATATAATTTAAAAACTAGTCTACAGTTATGGCTTTATGTAATGTGCAAAATGTTATTGATATCGCAATGACAATATGGCAAAAAATAAATTTGTATATTAGATTTACGATTGAAAAGAGAATCGTGCAAATAAAGCTAATTATTAAAATATTAAATATACTGTATGTGTTAATAGGTAATGTATTTATATTAAAATATTAATATAGTATCTTAATATTATATTATAATATTATTAATGTTAATATTATATTAATATTTTAACATAAATACATTACCCACACTTACACATACAGTATATTTAATATTTAATATTTTAATAATTAGCTTTATTTGCACGATTCTCTTTTCAATATTCTCTTTTCAATACCGCGAATCTATTATACGAATTTATTTCTTGCTATATCGTCATTGCATATCAATAATATTTTGCACATTACATAAAGCTTTAACTGTAGACTAGTTTTTTCATCATTGCCAGTGATTTTCCGACTTTATATTCAAAGAATTTTGCTGATTCATTATTTTACTCACATATTCTTATTTCTATATAGTTTTTTTTTGCATTTACGCAAATTTCTCTTTGCATACCGTTTGAGCAAGGGTCCACATCATTTATAAATGGGAATCACAGTTCGGTAGTTTTGGCTACTAGAATTCATGAAGGAGTTTAATGTCCTAAAAATAATGTGGAATGCGGAAACGGCAGAGCAGTTAACCGTTATAGTTATAAATATACATCGTAATTTAAAATAATACGAATCTTACGTGCACAATTTAATTCATAATTGGATAACAAATCGTATTTTGATTTTTAAATTGGATTTTATGAGAGAGAAATTAGTATACGGTAAACGGTCGAATTTATGCATTCTCGCAGCATCGAACATCTAATAATCCGGCGGTAGTATCTCTTCGGGAAAGACACATTCGAAGGTGCCTCTTTCTCTTCTTTCTTTACCCTGGCTACGATGAGAAATCGACAGACTTCCACGATTTACATAAGAAGATATTCAAGATGGTTACGTTGCTTCTACTATTGCCACAAGTGATTGCGATTCATCACCTTTATGCTAATTGCGTACGCTACGTGACACATTATACGCCTCAATCTTTTTAGGCATTAGACTGAGGATAGTAATAATGGATCTAGTAATATAACTTTGTCTACAAACATATTATCATCTTCAACAAATATATAAGCCTACAAATATCAAATCATATATATCGATACTCGAATTATGTTTATTAAAGGATTTTTATTTCAGACAATAATATGCACTTCAATACGAATATTAATAACAATTTCTTAAATAATACTTAATAATATTGTTCAATAATACTTAAATAATCGGTTATTTAGGAGAAAAGCTTACAAAAGTGAAATAAAAGAATTTACTCCAAGTATATGGAAAGTAATGTATATGCTACGGAGTTTTTGAAAACATATCTGCAATTATACAAAAATGTACTTGGTGTAATTTTTTTACCTTACTTTGTAAAGTTTTTTATAGATTGGTATTATTGTCAATTCATTATCCATATTATATATTGATATATTGTGCATCTCAATTTTTTATCTCTATTAGTTGCGTAGTTACAATTGAGATATTGATAAAAATTGAAGTGCATTATGTATCCTTTTTTTAATAATAATTTATTAGTACCTCGGATAATCTGATTTATTTATTATTCGCGCGTTGCACTCAGCAAACAATTTACAAGTTACATTTTAAATGAAAAAAACCCTTTGTTTTATAATGCGATTGATTTTTTGCAATCAAATGCAAGTTGATGATGTGTGCAGTTGTAATGTTGTTAGTTCAAATATGAAGTTTTAGAACATTAAAACGATCGTTGAAAAAAAAATATTCAATTTCACTGGTAATTTACTGCATTCTTCTCCAATCGCTCGTCTGTCAATTTTTCCATGTCAATCCTTCACGGTTCATGATGATGCAAAACTAAACATATGATGTTTAAGGAGACAGCGCGCAGTAATTTTTTGTTCGGTTGCACTTTCACATACTTTCTCGACATTCTGAACGCACGTGGTTTTATACTTTGTTAATGAAAATATTATTAAGCAAAATTGGAATTATTTGGCTCGTCAACGGCTCACATACAAACTGTAGATATCTATGATAGTAGTACAAGAAAAATGGAACGCACCGTTAAAGAGCACCGAATATTCGCAGCATCCGTATTTCATACCGTTATAGCGCTAGTCACTTACAACGAAACAATATTCCACGGATACCCTAAGTTCTCGTTTTGAAGAACGAGTTCCGTTACATTCTTTCTCAGAAAGTAAGAAATTGAGCCTATTTTTCAACGAGAAATTTAATTTAATATTTCTTTAATTTAAAAAATATTTTTTTATTTTAATTTTTTTTAATTGGAAAGTGTTTTTTGCAAGAAATTTAGTCTAAATTTTTATAACAAAATTAAAAAAAAAAGAGATTAGTTTCAACATTTATGTTCTTTGATTTCAATATTGATTTATTATCTGATAGATTTGTACATTAAATATAATTTGAAACTTTTTTCTTTTTGTTATTAATAATCACTAATTGTGTAAAAAAGGTTTATTGATTATCAATTTATACAAAATAGAGGTAGTAAAAAAATACTGTTCAGTATAAAAACATAAAATAGCAAAAAAAGTTTGAAAGATTATAACGTAAAGATCCATGTAAATCAATGTATTATTAATATCAATGAAATTAACTTCTAAAGTAAAAAGATACATTAATATAAGGTAGCATTTATTTCTTACAAGGTTATAGAAAATTATGCACGAGTAACACAGAATGCGGAACTGTTAGACGATTTATCTATTGATGATTATAACAGACTACAGCTATTAATAAACCATTTAATGAATCTTTACAAACAAAGTAACACTTCTCGACAGCTTTCAACGTCCAATTATGATTACGTATTATCATGGCTTATATTTCAAGCTTATGGTTTTTTCGATATTTATTCAAGATAAAAAATAATAATTGCAGCTATTATTCGTAACCTTGTAATTGAAGCATTAGGCTTGAGGATTAATACAATGTTAGTGAACAATTACAGCAAAATCCCCAGTTATCTAAGTATCGGTTATCTAAGTATCATCGATTAAAATTTTTCTTCTAATTTTTGTTACGGCTAATTTCAAGGAAAACTAACTAATAAAGCTTAACTGTTTTACGATAAACTCTGTTTAAAATGATAATTTCTTCGCTGAATCTTATTTACGGAAGACTATATCGTTTTAATTATATTTCTCATCAGTAATATAATACGTCAATATTCAATGAACACATCTTTATTTATTTTTTTAGTATAATCTGGTGTAAATATCATTCTTCTATCTTATAATTTCATACTATAAAAATTATTTCTAGCATTCGTTCTAAGATATGTCTGTGATGGTTTATGGAACAAATTTCATCATAAAGAAGTAAAACGCGTACACAAAAACTGTTACGACTTAAATTTTATTCTTGCTATCT